TTTTTAATTTACATCCAGATTAGTTAGCATGTAGTGCAACAATGATTTCAGGAGTAACATTGGTTCACTTTTAAAACAAGTCTTTATATAGAAATTTGGTCTTCAAAAACTTAGTTGTAAAATATTGAATTTAATTATTTGTCTTTATTTGCACTAAATAAACTCCAGAAGAAAAACAGAATTTCCTTTAGTGGTGGTCAAGTGAATTACCTCATAATAGCTACTTGGAATATTGCTGTTGATTAACTGAATAGCACCTCTAGGACATGTAACTTTAGAACCTTATAAATGTTGACATGCATTCAGTCAGCATTTTTGCATAATCCTTAGAGAAAGGAGAGTCTTAAGCCAATTAGGTCATTAGATTGTAGAAGACCAAGAATTTGTCTTTTAACTCACTCTCAGCACTGTATATATGGTAGACACATACTTGTTTTATGAGTATTAAATAATCTTTTACTGTGAAAGTACATGGGGAGTCAGTTTGTCTTTTAAATACATTAAGGCTATTAAAATGATGGCTCGGTGGCTTCTTGAAGTGAAAATAATCACAGTAAATCAGGATTTACTGTGTAATTCATCTGATATATCACTATATTAGGAAGAATTGTTTAGATGTATTTACTATTTAAGAATTTACTAATGTTTTAGGGGTGCCTGGGTTGCTCAGTCAGTTGAGCATCTAACTCTTGATTTCGGTTCGGATCATGATCCAGGGGTCATGGGATCGAGCCCTGCGTCAGGACTCTGGACTGAGTGTGGAGCCTGTCTCAGATTCTCTTTCTCCTCCTCTCCCCCACCCCCCTGCTTGCATACTCTTTCTCTCTCTCTCAAATCATAAAAAAAAAAGAAAAAGAAAAATTTTGCTAATGTTTGAGGTGTGTCCCATTAAGCAGAAGTTTTCTTAAATTTAAAAGGAGCTTCTTGGTAATATTTGAAAAGTTGAATTCTAAAAATTGTGATGTTTTCTGCTACACCTGCTTTCATTCTTCTTTTATACTTAGCACATTAGTTTTAGTTGACTGATTAACAAGTTAGGACATTTTTGTGCCTAATCTATAAGTAAACACATAACCAAAAAAAATCCATACCAGAAGACTTTAGCTAAACATACAAATATATTCTAAGCTTTAATCTTGGCTAAAGCTATTTTATGTAGAATTAAATGACTTCAGTATAGGCTGTGTTAAGGAAAATAACTTTGGAGTATTAGACACCATGTTCCAAAGTTAAGTAAACATAAGTGTTCAGTGTCACTGAATTGCCTTCTGCCCTTTTTTTGGCCACAGGAAATTTTTAAAAATTTGATGTAGCAAGTAGGAATGTTCTTTTGCAGACATTTAGAAATCTAATTTATAATTCTTTCTTATTTATTTTTTAGTAAACCGGATATGTCACGTCTGAGGCTTGCAGCTGGAAGTGCTATTGTAAAGCTGGCACAAGAACCTTGTTATCATGAAATCATCACATTAGAACAGTACCAGCTCTGCGCATTAGCTATCAATGTAAGGAAGATGGCCATATAGAATAGACTTTATATGGTCTTTGACTTTTTAGGAAGAAAAAAGTCCTCCATGATATAGAGATAAAAATGTTGAGTTGTCTCCTTTTGGAAAATGTATGCATGAGAAACATTTCAGAGTTCTAAAACTGTTGTTTGAGTTTTGGGTTGCTAACACAGTACATTCGATTCTCGTTATTTGTAGTAGTTCTATTCTACAGAGTCACCCCAGCCACCAAATTACCAAATACTGATCCATTGCTTCTAAGGGAAATACAGGGGTGGTTTCTCCAAGGCTCTGTTCCCAACATTTTTGTCAGTCTGTCAGTACATAACCTTGTTTTATGTGTGTTTCTATTTGAGGACATATGATTTAATATATAGTTGTGTCACTACCATTGAACTCATGACCAACAGAGCTGTAACTCCTGCCTGAATAAAACTTTGCTAACATGTATTCTCCCTATGGCATATCACAACCTTCTTGCTTTTAGGAACACTGAACAGCACTATGCTTGGGAGCTCTTTTAAACAACAAAACCACCAACAGATGCACAAAAATGTGAAAAAATGTGGCACTAAATAGACTGTCAAAAGGACACTTGTTTGCAATACAAGAGCTGACACAACAGGCCTTGCTTTGTTCAACTTCATTCAGATGGGATGTATGTCAGATGATTCAGATTGTTCACTACTGTATTGATTTACTCACTTTAAGTATTGATTTTGGGGTTACAAATAAATTGTAGTGAGTAGGTGAATTCACAGATTTGGAATGTGTAAATAATGAGAATTGAATATATTGAGGTCTTAAAAGGAATAAAAAATACAGACATTTACAGTTTTATAAAGATATGATACAGATTAATAAACATTTCTTACTTCTCCAGCCAGTTAAAATTTGAAGTTATTAACAGCGATACTAATGGATTTATTCTCTAGTCTTACAGATTTCATATTAGAGTAACATAGTATTTGAATCCTGTTACTTTGGAAGTTTTTAGCATCATTGAGAAAATTAAAAAGGACTTCCATAATGGAAAATATGATATTTAAATATGAGCTTTTCATTCATTTTTTTTGGTCATTTTACACTTAATTTTCCTGTTCTTTTCCAAGTAGTCTTATGTATAAGAATTTGGCATTTATTTTAGGGATTATTGTAATTTTTCTTTCCACCCTTCCCTCTGCTTATTTTTAAATTAGTGCTTATGTGTAACTCCTAGCCATAAGCAATTGCCTGTTTTTTGTAATCATTTTGTCAGAATATGGTACTTTAGTCTTTAAAAAAGCTATTCCAGATCTCCAAATCTTGTTTTTGTTTTGTTTTAGTTTTAGTGTTGTAATTCAGATATTATACTAAACCATTTGAAAATGAGATTTCGAGGAATCCATAATTTCCTGGTTTAGTTTTTCCTCATTAAATTTTAGAAATAATATTATTTTGCAAGAAAGTGAAAATTGTTTAAAAATATATATTAAATTTCTTAGAAGAAAACCTTTGTAATTTTTTTTTTAGATTGGTGATACAGTCGGTTGATTTATCACATTCTTGGTCTGATATTTCTAAATGTATTGGTGCTACCAGTTTTAAGGTGGAAACTCTTACAGAAGTATGGAAATATGTGAGAGAAATGGGCTTTGTTTGAAACTTATTGTGTGTAAAAAGTATGTACAAATCGTTAAATATTCACTATGTGTGAAAAGCATCCATACTTCTAGAGATTTTCTAGCACAATATATGTTATGTATTACTATCTCAGTCACCAAATTCCCAAGGTGAAAGTTCAGATTGCCTAGGTTTTAAGATTGCTTTGGAATACTGTTGACTATGGAACATGTGTTAATGGTTGAAAGTTAGTTATTAGCATATTCTCACAACTTACAGACATATGCAGTTACCCTCCTGAAAAATACCTTTCTGCTGTGCTTCTAAACCGTGTGCTTGTCTCTTCTTTTTCAGTCTCCAGACCTCAAAGAGTAATCTGTATCTTTGTCTCTTTTACCCACTTATCTCTCAGTCCTCACTACTCACATTTTGGCATTTGCTTTTCTTGTTTTTCCAAAAATGCTTTATTGAAGGCCTCGAATCCAGTGATACTAGTTAGTCTTCATTATACATGTCCTTTCTGCATTATTTGACACAGCTCACTGCACCTTTATTCTTGAAATTCTCTCTGGTTTCTATCTCCTGATTTTTGTTGTTCCTCTCTAACTACATTTTTTTGTTCTTTTTTCCTTTAAATGCATGTATTCTGTAAGGATTTGTTGATGACCAAATTTTCCACTTATACATTCTTTTTTAGCTGTCTTATTTTCTTCGTAGGTGACCCCTGTACTAGCAACATTTTAACATTTTTGCAGGTCAGTCTGGTGCCACTTATAAGGCTAAACAGAAATTTCAAACTCTTATGGTCTGTGAATGTTAAGACTGAATTCATAATCTTTCTGAAATCTATTCTTCACTGACATGTAGAGCCTCAGTAAGCATTAAATAAATCCAAATGGTATATTCTTGGATTGAAAAACATGATTTATATTTGACTATTTGCTTGTCCTTGTGCCTTGTTACAGAAGTGCAGATAATCTGTCCTGTGTCATATCTTTTCACTCATATCTTCTTAACTGTTCTTACCACTGTAATCATCATTAGCTTTCACCTGGACTATTGGGAGACTTTTCTGCTGTGGTTTAAATTTCCCTATCACAGTTCCAATCATATTATTTCCCAGTCAAAATATTTAGGGGCTTATACTTGTAAAAAAAAAAGAGAGAGAGAGAGAAAAAAAGAAAAGAAAGAAAAATTGCATGTATTTTACAGTTTGGCTGTTTAAACCCTTCTAATATTGTGGGTCCAAATATACACTTAAAAAATCTTGTTTAACCCACTACCCTTACCTACCTTCATTTCAGTGAAACTGAACAGTTTTTTTCTTTTATGTGCCTGTAGTTTGCTTTCTTCTCACCCTCCCATTTCCACAAGTCCATCTCTGACCCTTTTTTTTTTTTTTTTCAAGGTTTATTTATTTTTGGGACAGAGAGAGACAGAGCATGAACGGGGGAGGGGCAGAGAGAGAGGGAGACACAGAATCGGAAACAGGCTCCAGGCTCCAAGCCATCAGCCCAGAGCCTGACGCGGGGCTCGAACTCACGGAGCGCGAGATCGTGACCTGCCTGAAGTCGGACGCTTAACCGACTGCGCCACCCAGGCGCCCCTCTGACCCTTTTTGAAAATCAAGGCTTAAACACAACCTTCTCCACAAAACTTGCTCAGATTCTTACAGCTGGTCTCATTTTTATTCCCCACAGATTTTATCTTCAGTCCTTTGATACATACATGCATCATGCTTTATTTATTTTTATATATGTCTGCTTTATTTCTCTTACTCGAGTTGAGTTCTTTAAAGGTAGTATTGTGGTTTATATATACAATGGAATACTACTTGGCAATGAGAAGGAATGAAATATGGCCTTTTGTAGCAACATGGATGGAACTGGAGAGTGTTATGCCAAGTGAAATAAGTCATACAGAGAAAAACAGATACCATATGTTTTCACTCTTATGTGGATCCTGAGAAACTTAACAGAAGACCATGGGGGAGGGGAGGGGAAAAAAAAAAGAGAGAGAGGGAGCCAAACCATAAGAGACTCTTAAAAACTGAGAATAAACTGAGGGTTGATGGGGGGTGGGAGGGAGGGGAAAGTGGGTGATGGGCATTGAGGAGGGCACCTGTTGGGATGAGCACTGGGTGTTGTACGGAAACCAATTTGACAGTTTCATATTAAAAAAAAAAAAAAGGTATCTCAGAGGTTCTTGTATATTTGAATAGAAAGTAAATCTGGGGAAATAGAAATTCAATAATATGAATCTTAATATTATTTAATAATTAAGTATTTTAGAATTTGAATGCAGTTCATGAAAAATTTACTTTGTACTGCTATCTGCTGTACGTTGTTCTAGGTTCTGTAAAATACAAAGCCATGGCTACTGCCCTTAAGAACAAAAGCTCTTAGAACAGAAAATATAAAGAAGTGTTGATAATACAATGTGATACACAAAGTAATTGAACTATTTGCAAGACACTGTCAGTAGTTCTGAGGATAATTTGTAGTAGGAAAGGGCACTAAAAGTGAATTTACTTAAGATGCAGACAAATTAATTTCACAGTTAGTTAGTGAATAAAAGCTTTAATTGGAACTTTGAGGAAAATGTTTGGTAGCATTACATACCATCTTCTTTTTTCTTATATTGAACCAAATAGTGGTTAGAAGCATAACCATGAAAGTATTAAATGTTTGCTTTTTTGAATGTTTTTTTCCTGCAAAAAAAAATTGTATTACTCTATTCCGTACTTCACATTTAACTTCTGTAACATAGTCAAAAGGATAATCATCTTTGCAAAAAACAAACATTTGGAGGCTGTCTCAGTTCCTAGGAAGACATACTTTAAGTTTTTTCTTCACATGCTTTTCTATTTGATGTACCTATTTGTCATCATTCTTGTCAGTTTTCTCCTCTTTCATTATTAACTGTGACAGCTTGCACATGACTTAACAGTTCTTCTCTAACTTTAATGACAAATTTTGGGAATCCTACTACTTTTGCCATGATTCAGTAATTAATTTATATTGTTGGATCCTGAATGATTAGTGAGAAAGTAACAAAAACATGGTCTTGGTTGAGAATGTATCTGAGTAGGGGGAAGGGATGTTTGGAGATTAATTTTTTAATGAATGGTGTGTTCATCTGTGAATATATTTGTGATATTTTGACTTACACAGTTTGTAATTGGGTATTTTCATGGTGAATAATCAGATAATGAAGATTCCTCTACCCCGTGGGAGTTTTAATACTGAGGAAGGAATGAGTTTATGTCAACTTTATTTTGTTGGGTGTGAGGGTTGACAGTAATTCTGTGGAATTAGAATACTCTTTAATTTCTTATTTTTTTAAATTTTATTTTAGAGAGGAGTGCATGAGCGAGCAGGGGAGGGAAAGAGAGTGGGGGGCAGAGAGAGAGAATCCCAAGCAGCTCCACACTGTCAGTGCAGAGCCCAACATGGGGCTCAGTTTCATGGCCTGTGAGACCATGACCCAAATCGAAACCAGGAGTCGGACCCTTAACTGACTAAGCCACCCAGGTGCCCCAAGAATACTTCTTAAAAAATAGATATTTGGGGGCACCTGGGTGTCTCAAATGGTTAAGTGTCGGACTCTTGATTTCAGCTCAGGTTATGATCTCACGGTTCATGGGATTGAGCCCCGCGTCGGACTCCAGTGACAGTGGGGGAGCTTCCTTGGAATTCTCTCTCTCCTCTTTCTGCCCCTCCCCTGCTCATATTTGTGCTCTATCTCAAAATAAGCTTAAAAAAAAAAAAAAAGATAAACAAGTCTAAATTAAATGAGAGAAGGTACACAAAATAAGGATTTAAAGATAAGAGCAAGATGTTATGACCTAGGTTTTGAAAAAAAACCAAAATGTACATTATAGATAGTAGAAATAGTATGCATAACATTGCAATAGTATGAAAGACACCACACTTTGTGTTAATTGGTGGAGGGTAAGGTGTAATTATGAAGGTCTTTACACGTTTCATATATGACTCAAATGTCATATTGAGCTTTGTCCTATAGCTTATTCTATAGATAATCTATATGCCAGATACTGTGCTAGGTTTAGACGCTCAAAAGTGAATAAAGGCATAGTTCTTGTCTTTAAGGAATGAGCCGTGATGAGTAAGACCTATAAACCAATCATTTTAATACTGTATAGTGAATGCTATGCCGGAGATACGCACAGAGTGCTAAGAGAGGATAGCTGGATGCCTGATAAAGACTGGAAGATATAGGAGCTGTTGTTAGAGATGAGGAGGAGTTAGCTAGAAGAGTAGAGATGGGTGGTTTAGTAGAGGGAGTTAGTATGAGGAAAGCAGGCGCAGTGGTAATGAACAATTGGTTCATTTATAGGACTAAAAGTAATTTGGTGTTCCTGAAATTGACTAGTAACTCTTGCCTTCAGAGTTGTCCATTTTAATCTGAATAGTTTTTTCACTGTTAAAGCTAAACTATATAAATTGGACAGTTTTATCTTGCTCAGTAAGTGCAAAAGCTAGATAGGAGATGGTATTTAAACTATTTTTAATACCTTAAGTTAGGATGGATTTATATGTACTAGCTTTATCTGTTTTAAAAGTATATTCAGTATTTTCTAACACATGTAACTTGGTACCTTGTGAACACTACAGCCTTGAAACGAACATGTCACAATCCCTCAGTCTTGTGAGCAGAAGCAGTGGTTGTCCATAAACTTGCTCTCCTTTACCCTTCAAATTTCGTATGTAAGGTTGTTACTTATTCTTTGTTGCCATGTGAATAATCTGTGGAATAATTCTGTCTTTACAGGATGAATGCTATCAAGTAAGACAAGTGTTTGCTCAGAAACTTCACAAAGGCCTCTCCCGATTACGGCTTCCACTTGAGTATATGGCAATCTGTGCACTTTGTGCAAAAGATCCTGTAAAAGAGAGAAGAGCTCATGCTAGGCAGTGTCTGGTCAAAAATATAAATGTGAGACGCGAGTATCTGAAGCAGCATGCAGCCGTTAGTGGTAAGCATATGTGAAAATGGGAAGTATACTATCCTAGCCAGTTGCAGTTTGATTGAACACAAAGTGATGTTACTGCTGTTTATTATACTCTAATTGGCCATCATTAAATACAAAATTGTTACTAATTTTCAATAACCGTTTTCCTTTAAAAAAGTTCGTTTGACAAATATAAATGCATAGGTATTTAAATATCAACCCATGTTTCTTTATGTAACTGACTGAATGGCCAAGGAAAATAAGCAATGACATTGGAGATACTTTTAATAAAACAGTGAAATATGCGCGCGCGCGCACACATACACACACACACATATGTGGTGTAAGTACTGTCTTTTAGATTTAAAAAAGTACAGGTCTTTTATCTTTGATTGTTTTTCACTGGTAGCTGATGTTAATATCCGGTGCTTATGTGCCTGTTTTTAATCTCATTTTATCCCATTTGTGTTATTTTTGTGTCTGAGTTCTTCATTGTATTTTTAAAAATTTTTTTTAAATGTTTATTTATTTTTGATAGAGAGACAGAGCATGAGCATGGGAGGGGCAGAAAGAGGGGGAGACACAGAATCTGAAGCAGGCTCCAGGCTCTGAGCTGTCAGCACAGAACCCGACATGGGGCTCGAACTCATGGACCACAAGATCATGACCCTCAGAAGTCAGAGGCTCAACCAACTGAGCCACCCAGGCTCAAGCCACCCTTGAGTTCTTTTAACAGCATTAGAATCCACCTAGTTACCCAAGTCAAAAATCAGGCCTTTATTTTTGTACCTTCTTTTTTCCTCTTATTGGTCACCAAATCCTCTAGATACCTTGAATGTCTCTCTCCTTAGCTCTCCTACTCTGGTATATTTCACTTGGGTAATTGAATACACTCCAAACATCTTCCTGTTGTGTTTCCTTCCCTCTGACCCATCTCCAGCTGTGCCACACACCATTATCAAGAATACCATTCTAAAACAGGTTGGATCATGGTACTTCCTTGCTTGAAATCCATGTTGATTCTTCATTGCTGATAGGATCTAGTTGAAACTCATTAGCATGGTCCTTACTCTCAGCCTGAGTTTCAAGCTACCTATAAATTTTGTGTATCTTATACTATGGATTATTTGAAATTTGTGCAACCATCTTTTAACTTTGTTGTCAACTCTATCTGGAAATTGCCTGCCCTTCTAGACAAATATAAAGAAAACTAAGGAGCGTGGTTTGCACCTTTTGAATCCTTTAAAATACAGTTTTGGTGTTACTGCATCACTGGGGCCTTCTTTCTTTCTCTTCCTTCTCAAACTTGGAGAATAAGAGCTCTGGAGTCAAATCCCTCTTCTGTTTACTGGTTGTTTGGGGGCAGGTTACTTTCTCAATCTGAGCCCTAGTCTCCTTATTTGTAAAATTGGTATAATTATACTCATTTCTTATGGTTAGCATGAGGATTTAAGTGTTATGTGTATAAAGCACCTGGCATGATGTGTGGTTCAAAGAAGTACTTGGTACTTGTTAGCTATACTTACTTGAAGGCGCCTTTCACATTGAAGTATAGTTTGTGTCTCTACACTTTCCTGTGAGATCTTTATCTAGTCTTACTCATCTTTGTACTTAAAATAATATGCCCCAATAAAAGTAGTAAGCCTAGAAAATAGTAAGCATTGAATAAATACTTGATACATTTGAATTTGAATATCACTGAGTTTTGAAACCTGTTACTTTTTTTTTCTGTATTCTATATTTTCTTGAAATAAATATTACACACCAACTATTCTCTTAGAGTTCAGCAATAAGGAAATAAATAAAACTTGGTGTCTTATTGACACATGTAGTATTTATTATATGCCAAGTTGAGTATCTGATTTAAAATTTTATTTTGAGGGGCGCCTGGGTGGCTCAGTCAGTTAAGCGTCCAGCTTCAGCCCAGGTCATGATCTTGCAGTTCATGAGTTCGAGCTCTGCATTGGGCTCTGTGCTGACAGCTCAGAGCCTGGAACCTGCTGTGGATTCTGTGTCTCCTTCTCTCTCTGCCTCTCCCCAGCTCATGCTCACACTCTGTCTCTGTCAAAAATAAATAAACTTAAAAAAAAAAATTAAAAGTTTATTTTGAAAGTAGGAAATATAAAAGGAATTGTTCAGTATATGACTCCTGGTCTTTTTGACTAATGTTTGGTAAAACTAGTTAGGATTACCATTCTGACCTCTAGTGCAATATGCTGATCTCAGGTCAAAATATAAAAATATTTGAATTTAAAATAAAAGTTTGTTACTTCAAATGTCCTAGAAACTCTGAAGTCCATTACTTTAGATCTGTTCTTTTTTTTACAAATAATCTCAAGTAGTATCAACCTTCTTATTTTTTGTGCCATATTAACATTGAAAGATGCATTATTTTTTTTTTTTTTTTTTTTTTTTTTTTTTTTTTTTTTTTTTTTGCTCAGCTTAATAAGGGAGTGTTAAACATAAGGTTGCTCATAATCACAAGAAAAATAGATCTTATGTTTCTTTTTCTTAGATATAGTTTGTTTGGGTCACTTTTTACCATGTGTGTTTGAAAATGAAAATATTTGTCTTTGTAGGCTCAGCATATGGTGCATTTAGTAGGCATTTCAATATTGGACATGATGGATGAATGAATAAAGTCTTTATGGTGTAATTCAACACTGGACATTTCAATAAATTTTTCTTGTAGCCATATTTTGGGAAACTACTGGGATGCAAGAAATACAGTATCACAGACAAAGTGTAAGGTTTGGTTTTCTAACCTGGATGTTTGTGTTTTGTTTTTTCTTTTTCAGAAAAATTACTGTCTCTTCTACCAGAGTATGTTGTTCCATATACAATTCACCTTTTGGCACATGACCCAGATTATGTCAAAGTACAGGATATTGAACAACTGAAAGATGTTAAAGAGTAAGACCTTTTTCATTCCATTTTCATATTTCCTGAAAGTTTTTTCTCTTTGATGCTGATAATGGAATTGCCATTATAATTAATTAGATTTATTTAATTTCTTAGGAGTTCCACGTTCTTCCCTTATTTCTTCTCTTGTTTTTCTTTTTTCATACCATATCTTTATATTTCATTTCCTATATGATTTCCCAAAAGTTAATTTAGCATAATTAGTGCACTGCTGTGTCTCTTTCGTTCTGGCACTTGTTTTCTATTGATGCAGTCCATTAAGAGTTTCCATTCCAGTTCTTACCTTTTCCTGCTTTCTTCTACAACTCTAAATTTTCATGTGGGCGAATTAATACTCTCCTTTATTCACATAGCACTTTTTCTTTGCATTAACTATCTTTCTCTGTAGGAAGAGAGAATGGTCTAATTTAGTAATGGGCCAAGTTGGTTACCAAGGAACTACCCCACTTACTACTTCATTGGTGTTTTTCTAGCTCAAGTTTATGGCACATGTAATTTTTTCAAAGATTATTGTTGAGAGGCAGAAAGACCATCTATGCCTGGGTGTGGAATAGGGAAATACAATAATATTTAGAGAAGTCTTCCTAATACCGCCATACTTCTTTAAATAAGCTTAAGACCCTAGTCTTCTTTCTGTTACGATAAACGTCTGTGGTTTTGAATAAATGAATTTATTATGCCTTTAGCTTCCTATTAAAGGAAAATAACTGGTGGTGTCTTAGTTCATAGAAATATTTGATAAATATTTGTGGTACCTCAAGAGAATAAAATCAAATTACTGGTAACTTTTTTATGGCAAGGGAAAAGCTGTTACTACCCTCTTTTAGCCACAGTTTCTGTTTTTTTTTTTTAAACTAAGCAGTTCTCCCAAAATGAGTTCTGTGTTAGGGTGATTGTAACTAATGAAAACTTCTAACCATCTTTCTCAGATAACTTTGGTTTTTGAAATACATTTAATATTCTTTGGAATTTACTAAATATTTTTGGTTTATTTGTAAAATGCCCAGTACAGTCTTGAGTACTCTTCCCATTCTGTCAGAGAGCTGCTCCAGAAGAACTTATTCTATTCCCAAGATCCTTAAGGTTATTTTTCCCCTTCTAGAATGATACCTTGCTTCTCACTTTACTTTTCTCTCTTCTCACTGTACTTTTCTCTCTTCTCACTTTACTTTTCTCCTCTGTGCCACAACTCTGTTCCATTCTGTCTATATAGTAAAGACACAAAGCACTTTTGGTTTGGTCTTGAACAGAGTTGTATGTAATTAACTTTAACTGAGCTAGTGAAACTTTCTTTTAATTTTTCCCTCTTAAGCAAAGACAGTATGTGTAGTTGTCAACCATGGTTTTTTTCCTCTCTAATTTATTCATGAAGATTCTTAACTATTGAGTTGGGTGGTTATATTTTCTTGAAAACGTCCAATCAGGACTGCTGTCTTGAGTGCTTGAGGCTTCACTTTATCCATGGCCCGGTTTTTATTTTAGGCAATTTTCTTTCCCTGTCATAGCTAGGGGTTAAGATCACTTCATCATTTCCACCATTTAAGTTCTTTTTTAACCTGCCTCTTTGGAAAAATTATTGAGATTTTGAGAAGGGGTCTTTTGAATTCACACCTACATTGCTGATAAGTTGTGATTTGTATGTGTGATATACCTTTTTTTCTCTTTTGATTTATAGCTGTTTTTTCCTTTTTAATTTTTTCCGTTTGTGGAGTTTATTATATTTATGTTGAGTTATTTTGTCTATATTTAACAACTGATTTTTTCATTTCTTTTTCTTCCCTTTTTCTTAGATGTCTTTGGTTTGTTCTAGAAATATTAATGGCTAAAAATGAAAATAACAGTCATGCGTTTATCAGAAAGATGGTAGAAAATATTAAACAAACAAAAGATGCCCAAGGACCAGATGATGCAAAAATGAATGAAGTATGTAATTCTTTGTAAATAATCATGCTTCCCTGTTGATTTAAGCATTTGAGTGGGGGTGTGGTACTTCTATAGTATGTATAGACATTATCAATCTTTTTTATTATTTAATAATTAGTATTTCTATTAGTAATTAGAAATATTGAAAACAATAGTTTAACTTACACTATTGTACTGAAAACTACACACAGCCATACCTTGTTTTAATGCACTTTGCAGATAATTGCATTTTTTTTTTTTTTTTACAAGTTGAAGGTGTGTGACAACCTTGCATGGAGCAAGTCTGTTGGCAGCATTTTTCCAACAGCATTTGCTTATTGCTTATTTCATGTCCCTGTGTCACATTTTGGTAATTCCTGCAATATTGTAAACTTTTTCATTGCTATTATATATGTTATGGTGAACTGTGATCAGTGATCAGTGCTTTGGGGTTCCACAAACTTCACCCACATATAGAAGATGGCAAACTTAACTGATGTGTGTGTTTTGACTGTTGTAGCCACCAGTCGTCCTCTCTCCCTCTCCTCAAGCTTCCCTGTTCCCTGAGACACAACAATATTGGAATTAGGCCAATTAACCCTACAGTGGCCTCCAAGTGCTCAAGTGAAAGGAAGAGTAGCATATCTCTCACTTTAAATCAAAAGCTAGAAATGATGAAAGTTAGTGAGGAAGGCCTGTAGAAACTGAGATAGGCTGAAAGCTAGGCCTCTTGTACCAAATAGTTAGCCAAGTTGTGCATGCCAAGAATAAGTTTTTAAAGGAAATTGAAAGTGCTACTTCAGTGAGAACACAAATGATAAGAAAGTGAAATACTCTTATTGCTGATACAGAGAAGGTTTGAGTGACCTGGATAGATCAAACCAGCCACAGCATTCCCTTAAGCCAAAGCCTGATCCAGAGCAAGGCCCTAACTCTGTAATTCTGTGAAGGCTGAGAGAGGTGAAGAATCTGCAGAAGAAAGAAGCTAGCAGAGGTTGGTTCATACGCTTAAGGAAAGAAGCCATCTCCATAAGATAAAGTACGGAGTGAAACAGCAAGTGCTGACATAGAAGTTGTCCAGAAGATGTAGCTAAGGTAACTAATGAAGGTGGTTGCTCTAAATAACAGTTTTCTAACGCAGCCTTCTGTTGGGAGAAGATGCCATTGAGGACTTTCCTAGCTACAGAGAAGTCAGTGCCTGGCTTCAAAAGGCAGGCTGACTCTCTTGTTAGGAGCTAATGCAGCTGGTCTCTTGAGGCTGAAGCCCGTGTTCATTTCCCATTCTGAAAATCCTAGGGCCCTTAAGAATTATGCTAAGTCTACTCAGTGCTCTATAAATGGAACAACAGAGCCAAACAAATAGCACATCTGTTTGCAGTATGTTTTACTGAACATTTTAAGCCCATAGTGGAGACCTCAGAAAAAAAGACTTCTCTCAAAATATTACTGCTCACTGATAATGCACCTGGTCACCCCCAAGGCTCTGATGGAGACCTACAATGAGATTAATGCTATTTTCATGCCTGCTAACACAGCATCCATTCTGCAGCCCAGGGATCAAGGAATAATTTCAACTTTCAAGTCTTATTGTTTAAGAAATATATTCATAAGGTTGTACCTACCAGAGATGGTGACTCTTCTCATGGATCTGGGTAAAGTCAAATGAAAATCTGGAAAGAATTCTCCACTCTACATTCATTAAGAACATTCATGATTCATGGAAAGAAGTCAAATTATCAACATGGACTGGAGTTTGGAAGAAGTTGATTCTAACTTCTTGGTTAGAATCATCATGGATGACTTTGAGGGGGGGTTCAAGACTTCAGTGGAGGAAGTAACTACAGATGTGGTAAAAATAGCAAGAAAATTATACCTAGAAATGGAGCCTAAAGATGTGACTGAATTGCTGTAATTTCATGATAAAACTTTAATGAATTTGGAGTTGCTTTTCATGGATGAGCAAAGAAAGTGGCTTATTTATTTATTTTTTAATGTTTATTTATGTACAGACTGTGAGCCAGGAGAAGGGCAGAGAGAGGGGGAGAGAGAGAATCCCAATCAGGCTGTGTGCTGTCAGCACCAAAACCACTTTCCTGGGGCTCCATCCCATGAACCGTGAGATCATGACCTGAGCCCAAACAAGAGTCAGCTGCTCAACTGACTGAGCCACGCAGGCGCCCCAGGAAAGTGGTTTCTTTAGATGGAATCTGCTCCTGATGAGGATGCTGTGAAGATTGTTGAAATTACAACAAAGGATTGAGCATATTACACAAACTTTGTTGATAAAACAGCAGCAGCGTTTGAGAGGATTGACTCTGATATTCAAAATTCCGCTGTGGGTAAAATGGTATCAAATAGCATCACATGCTGCAGAGAAATTGTTAGTGAAAGGAAGAGTCAGTCAGTACAGCAAACTACAGTTTTGTCTTTTTTTGAGAAATTACTACAGTCACTCCATTGTTTGGCAGCCACCACTGATCAGCAGCAGCCGTCAACATTAAGGCAAGACCCTCTTCCAGCAAAAAGATTTTGCAAGTAACCGAAAGCTCAGATGATGGTTAACGTTTTTAGCAATAAAAGTTTTTAATTACTTGTACTGTAATTACATTGTACGTTGTTTTTTAGACATAATGCTGTTGCACACTCAATAGATCATAGTGTAGTGGAAACATAACTTTTATATGCACTGGGAAACCAAAAAATTCATTTGACTCACTTAATTGAAACATTTGCTTTATTGTGGTGGTCTGGAGCCGAATCTGCAGTATCTCTGAGGTATGCCTGTACTAATTGCATGTTGTAGAATTACTCCTAATTCAGAGTCAAGGCTGCCACCTTAAGTACCTAATTTTCTTTAATACCATTGCAGAAACTGTACACTGTGTGTGATGTTGCCATGAATATCATCATGTCAAAGAGCACCACATACAGTTTGGAATCTCCTAAAGACCCAGTACTACCAGCTCGTTTTTTCACCCAGCCTGACAAGGTAGTTATTTTAGATTTTGTGTGTGTAGATTGAAATAAAATGTATTCTCAGCACTAGGTTGTGGGAAGATTAGGAAGGATCAGTATCAAGAGCTGGCGCACTACTAATGTCGTGGAAAGGTCAGCTTGCGTCTTAATAATGTGGTGCAAGACTAGCACATGGGCCAAATCGGAGGACACAAACAAGGTCCGGAGGTTAATCAAGATTATCTAGAGTTTGTGTTTGGAGTTTTATGCCAGTCTACGAGTACAGGCAAAAATGTGATCAAAGCATGTAGATCTGTCAGTTAATGACCAGTGATCCAAAATGGGAAGGAGAATGCTGATAGAGTCTGAAGTTATAAGCCCTTGATTGAAATTTATAACTGGTATGAAGAAACAAGGGCAGACACCGGAACAGGTTTGAGACCCAGGGAATACCACAAGAATGTTCCCCAAACTCAGCACAAAACTCAAGTATTGTAGGAAATACAAAAAAGAAAAAAAAATTTTTTTTATGTTTTATTTTTGAGAGAGAGGGCGCAAACAGGGGAGAGGCACAGAGAGGAAGAGACACAGAATTTGAAGTAGGCTCCAGGCTCTGAGCTGTCAGCACAGAGCCCGACGCGGGGCTCGAACTCACGAACTGTGAGATAACCTGAGCCAAAGTCAGACGCTTAACCTGACTGAGCCACCCAGGTACCCCTAGTATTGTACGAGCTATACAAGGTGTTTTCCAGATTCTCTTAGAGGTTCATAATGCATCTAAGCCTATTGACTGAGAGTTTGGAAAGCACCACTACCGTTTTTGTTTTTATGTTTGTGTTTGTTTCTAAGTAAAATAGCAGTTAAGGTCTTACCAACATACAGAGATTTGCAACAGCCTTGTGGAACAGGCTCACCCAGTAGCTAAAAGGGACTGTCTGCTTTCACCTTGTCATGATTAAGATAACAGGGGTAAATGTGGTCTCTTCTGGAGAGTTTTTTTTTTTACAGAAGCATGTGTTTTCTGATGCACTTACAGAGAACACTAGCACATTAGAGCTCAAATGTGTTTTGTTAATATTGGAGTTGGTAGAAGGTTAGTTTAAGCTTATTACAGTATTTAAAATCCGTGACTGAAATTTTGTGTTTGAACTTATTATTGAAGTATGTCTTTTATTATGTACTTTAAAACAAAATCTGTTATATGCTTTGTTGGCTTTGAAGCACTTCTTGTATAGTGTTTGATTATTCACTAACTACAACTTTTTCTCCTGCTTGTAGAATTTCAGTAACACCAAAAATTATCTGCCTCCAGAAATGAAATCGTTTTTTACGCCTGGAAAAGTACGTTTTGAGAGTCATTCTGATTTTTACATGGTAGTTTATTTTACTGTGATTATTGGCAAAATTATGTTATTTTGTATTTCTTTAAAAATTAGTGTATCTTAAGGTAGAAAATAGTTATTAGATCTCTTCCGTTTACTAGTAAGAAATAATATATTTACAGTATAAATGCAAGCTGAGATACATGAACTTATTTTGTAGCCTGAAATAAAGTGCTGGAGACCTTGATCTTTAAATATCTTATCCTGTAATGTCAAGATAAAAATCTTAAAGTTAAAAACATCTTATGTCTTTCCAAAGCAGTTTGATTATCTATTTTTATTGTTGACTGTACATTTTATTTGTTCTTTCTATGTAAGCCTTTTCCTCTAAATCGCAAAGAAGCTTAACTATTATGCCTGTCTGTATAGTTTTTCACTTATTCAAGTGATACTCAATTTATAATCCTTATTTTGCTTAAGGATAGGTATATTTGTGTGTGTGATTTGTATGTAAATACTTGGACAGAGATTTATGGTTCTTTATGTATGAATTTCTTCCTGCTTTAATCAAATAGAAAGAGATATGCATTTTTCATTTCAGCCTAAAACAACCAATGTTCTAGGAGCTGTTAATAAGCCACTTTCATCAGCAGGCAAGCAATCTCAGACAAAATCATCACGAATGGAAACTGTAAGCAATGCAAGCAGCAGCTCAAATCCAAGCTCTCCTGGAAGAATAAAAGGGAGGTAAGCACCTAAGAAATGCCATACTTTACATTTAAGGATTCCATCAAGGCAATGAGATCTAAAATAATGTAACCCAAAATATTTAAAAATTTTTTTTTTAACGTTTATTTAGTTTTGAGACAGAGAGAGACAGAGCATGAATGGGGGAGGGTCAGAGAGAGGGAGACACAGAATGTGAAACAGGCTCCAGGCTCTGAGCTGTCAGTACAGAGCCCGACGCGGGGCTCGAACTCACGGAGTGTGAGATCGTGACCTGAGCCGAAGTCGGCCGCCCAACCGACTGAGCCACCCAGGCACCCCTGTAACCCAAAACATTTAATGTCAGTGAGTGGAAATCAGTGCATACCCGAACAGCCATTTGCATCTTCCTGTTTATTTGCTTCTTTATTTTAGATAGGCACTCTATCTTAGGCTTTCATATTTTAGCTTGTTGGGATACCCTGTATTGGTAGACATAAGCTAAATGTCTGGCAAACTTGAAACTGTTATATTATAGTACAACCATACATTAGAAGACATAATCATTAAAAATGATGAGGTATGAGCTAATGTGAATTGTTTCCACAATATATTATTGAGTAAAAAAGGCAAAGAATAGAACAGTATTCTAGTATTTTCGAGTTTTTACAAGGGATTTGTCTTCAGATTGGCTTGTATATGCATAGAAAAGTTTTGGGAGAATACACAACATCTTGTGGTAGTCTACTATAGGAAGGAGATTCTATACTTTTTGGTTTGAGTTTCTTTTCCCACGCACATGTATAAATTTTTTTGTTTAGAAAAATTGTTTTAAATTTGTACTTTCAAATCATGCTCTACAGATTTTCGTCTTAAGAGGAAAAGAGAAAATAATTCACAGTTTAACTCGTTTTTGTGTAGTACTTAACAGTTTGTTAGCAGCAAAGCCTTGCACAGGCCCTAACTGCCACTGATTATTGATTTTGCTTAGTTATTATGAAAGACTGTGCTATCTTTGCATTGTTCATAACCAATCAATAAAGAAAGGATGAGACATTCTAAAATGTCTTATCAGTTTCCTTGTAACGAATAAATTGTCAAATGATATATGCTAGAGAGTGAACAAAAATACATTTATAGTGCTTGTTTTAGATTCCTGTATTAATACATATTAGTGGCTGATACTTAAGTCGCCTTCACCTATATCATTTGGACATTTTCTAGTGGGATGGCTTCCTACTTAACATGACCAAACCATTTCCAGCAACTCCTATCCTAAGTTACTGGTTTTTCTTCTTGGATCCTGGTTATAATCAAAGAAGATCAGTCATTTAGGCTGAGAGCCTCAAAATTGCTTTCGACTTTTCCCTTTGCTCAGATATTGCTGTGGAGCCTAGTGATCTAATTTGCAACTTTTATTAGATTGCCCTATCGTTTATGGAGAAGAGAGGCACTAGAATTGAGATTAAAAAAAACCAGTTAGGAGTCAGCTAATGGTAATTCAGAGAAGGGATGAAGAGGGAAGAAGATGGTAGTCAAATGTGGGATTTATTTTGATTTTAGACCCAAATTGTCTTGCTGATGAGGTAGATGTGAATAGTTATGAAAAGGGAATATTTAAGGATGTATCCTAGGGGGTTTTTTTGCTTGAATGTTTCTATAGGTGGCGGTGCCATTTACTGAGATGTTAGAAGCCTTTGAAGAGGAACAGGCTTTGTGCATGCATGCGCATTTGTGTGTGTGTGTGTGTGTGTGTGTGTGTGTGTGTGTGTTTTCTGGGGAGATGGGGAAAAGAGGAATGTCCAAATAACTATTTTGGCTGTGTTAAAGTTGAGATGCCTATAGGAAATTCAAGTGAGTGGGCAGTTGGATATGGGAGTCTAGAGCTCAGGGTAGTTTCTAGGCCAGAGATTGAAATTTAGGATTTAACGATGTATAAATGATTTTCATAGTCACATTAAAGATGAGATCACCGAGGACAGAAGACAGGCTTCATACCAATAAATGAGAGCTTGTGAGCTTGTGCTGTTAATTCATTTAATAAGTATTTATTGAGTGCCTATTTTATGTCTGGCACTGGTACAAGTGCTTAGTATAAAATAAATACAGTTGGCAAAAGATCCATGCTTACATTCTAGCAGGGGAAGTTAGTAGAGAATAAACATAATAACTTTAGTGTGTTACAGGGTGTTAAAAATACAGAGAAGAAAGGGGACCTGGGTGGCTCAGTTAAGTGTCCCATTCTTGATTTCGGCTCGGGTCATGATCTCACAGTTCGTGAGATTGAGCCCCACGTCAGGCTTTGCGTGGACCACTCTGAGCCTCCTGGGACTGACTGACTCTCTTCTCTCTCAAAATAAATAAAATTTAAAAAAAAAAGAACTCAAAGAAGAAAAAGCGGAGAGAGAGGTGCAGATTGTAGTAACATAGGCCAATCCAACTTGCTAACCAGAAAGGTTTTAATTTGCTTTATGTTTCCACTCCAAAATAGAATTTAGTTTTTAAAAAGATTTAGTAAGAAAACTAAATTTGTGATTCTTCAAGTTTCTCTATTAAATGTAATTCATTGCTTGTTGGTTTGGTGCTAAATATGATAGAATGAAACAGATACTTTTCGGAAAAGAATGAAACTTTTCCTCATATAGCTGTAAAGCTACACTAGGGAACAGGGAAAGCTTTTAAGGTTGTTTCATTGTAATAATAATAACAAATGTCTATATTAAAAGGCTTGATAGCTCTGAAATGGATCACAGTGAAAATGAAGATTATACAATGTCATCACCTTTGCCAGGAAAAAAAAGTGACAAGAGAGACGACTCTGATCTTGTAAGGGTGAGATATTTGGTTTGATTTTATAATTATAATAAAAATTTTACTGTATAAGTAATAATGTTTACACTGAAACCAGTTAACATTACTCTCAAATTTGACATTTGATTTTCTCTTAATGATTTTAATCACAAATGTGAGTTCATCATTATCCTCTACCTTGTAATTTAAGTATATTGAATCTCTTGTGTTTCTTGTCATTCTAATGAGTTATCTTTATTCTGTAGATCTTGGAAATCAAACATGCCAGTCCCATACTCAGAACTGTTTGGGGGTTTTTGTTGTTGTTTTGTTGTTGTTGTTATTGTTGTTGTTTAAAACACAGTAAGTTTAGACTTAGCATTAGAAAAGGGAAGTAGAATGAGGATCCTTAAAGGCTCCTCCATTTTAGATGCTTTCTTAAGCCTTTCATTACTAAGTAAGCTTCTAGCAAAGGTAGGGAATGCTGCAGTTTTCATAAAGGCTTCTTTTTAAATTTTAATAGCAGTGATAATTTGTATGATTAGACTGTAAATGCCATTTAAAGACAGGTTTGTTAAATTTTAGTACAGATACAGAATACAGTTATGTATTTCTATACATCCTGATAACCTTAATAATTGGGCACATTTTGACTTCTAGGTTAGCTTTAAACTTTTGAAAAATTCATGAAGCTCTCTGAATCAGTTTATCTGTAAAATGTGGCTACTTAGCTGTTAAGGTTTATCAGAATAAATGAATTAGTCCAAGTCAGTTGGTGTTGCTGCTATGTTATCATTACAAAGATCAATATTTTTGAGTAATGATTACTATAAAGTAAATGTTAATGCATTTGAAATCTACCCAGTAGAGGTGGAACGTTATTAATAAAATACCTTTGCTTTCTCTGAAATATTACTGCCCTTCTTTTCTACCACTGGCCCAACATTACATATTCCAAAAAGCTTTAATTATTTTTAATTGTTTTCAAGTTTCTCCAGTAATTTGTTCTGCCAGATTGTTTTTCTTTCCACTTAAAAAATTATAATTCTTAAATTCTTACTAAATCCTTACTACTTATACTGTAAATTCTGATTTTTATTGGCTGTTTAAAAATTTTGCCCAAGCAGAATTAAAAATTGATCGCTTAGCCAGAAAGGAATCCTGTTATCTGGATATATAGAAGAGAACCTTGAATTGGAAAAGGTATTTATGTCTTCTAGTCCTACTTCTCACTTAATGCAGAAATTCCTTCACTAGCATTTATGAGTTGTTTACCACGTGCTTAAAAATGCCTTAGGTGGAAAGCTTACAATTTCTCTCATTTGTTGGAAACATCAACGCATCAACTAAGCCACCTATACCCACATACTGACCTGCTCCCTTATGTATATCCCCCCCCAAATGTGGGAAGCATGGTGGTGATGAATTCTTAATATTTTGTTATCCTATAAATTCTGTATCTAGTTCTGCCATATTATAGAGCAGTGAAGAGCAAGTCTCTCTTTTCCATAGCAAAGTTGTGAAATTTTGAGCTTTTGAGATTTATTTGTATAATTATAATGGAAGCCTTTGGGTGCCTTTTGTGTAACATTGTATCCTTTTTCAGAAATACTATAAGAACCTTATTAATACATATCAACTGAAATATCCTTAAAGAGGTTAGCATTTTGAGACAGAAGTTCAATTTAAAGACCAGTAGATTATAGAGAAAGAGTCCTGTCTTTGTATATACTACCACCTTGATATTAAAACTTCATCACAAAGGAATTATTGTCCATATACATTTATATTCAAATATTTAGTTTTACAAATAGAATGTTTTCCTTATTTCCTGCTTTTAACCTCAGTTTTATTCTCCCTCTGTTCTTAAGGTAATGCAGTGCAAAATGAAAAAGAAACTAGAGAATGTAGTGCTTTAGTAAACTAGCTTATTTTATAGTATTCTCAAGAAAGCAGACATTAAATTTCCTGTTTACCACCAACCTTTTCCAGAGTATAAAGGAATTCAGCCACCTTATCACATTTTTGGACATTAAAATGAATTGTAAAGTTTAAAACTGGAGGTGATAATTGTAAAGTTAACTTTAATTCAATATTTCTCTTACCTTTGCATCTCTGAGTAACAATAATTATTTGTACAAAAATGCAAATAAATGCTAACAAATTAAAACCAGTCACTTATAGGTCTGTTTTTCCTAGAATGTAAGGATAATTTAATGTTAAGAAATCTTTTAACATAATATATCAAATCAGTATACCAAATAAGAAGAATACTAACAAGATAACTTCAGGTCATGTCAAGAAGATATAAATACAACTTAAAATCCATTCTTGATACATATGAACTCTTACTAACCTAATACCAGAAGGATACTTCCTTAACATACTAAAAGTTTTATCTGTTTAAATCAGTAATCATTGACTCAGTTATTCTTCTTAAATTATTCTTAAATGCAAAATACTTGAAACATTTTAATTAAAAATCAGAAGCAAAACAAGTAATTTGTTGTCATCACTATTATTTAAGATTGTTCTAGAATGTTTGACAAATTCAGGAAGACATGAAATAGGAATCAAAGGTATGACGGTGAAAAAGAAGAGACAAATTCATTTTTCTTTTGTACTCTTAGAAAAATAAGAGAAGCAATTGAAAAACGAAGTATTTAGTATGGTAGCCAATTAAACATCTATACGTGGTAGATGTATGTATGTGTATAACTAACTTTAGTCTGGTAATTTTGCTTTATATCAAGTATACATTTGGGGGAAAGGAGATTTGCTTCACCACAGTAACCTCTTCCACAACAAAGGTAGGTAGGTAGGTAGGTAGGTAGGTAGGTAGGTAGGTAGGTAGGTAGACAGACAGACAGACAGACCGACTGACCAGCCAACTGACCGATCAACCTAAACATAGCCTTAAAAAAGTAGGGGGAATCCGTGTGGGGAAAATATCCAAACTGAGAAACTTAGAAGACTTGAATAGAAGGAAGACATGCCATGTTCTTTAATGGGAGAAATGAATAAAAACAAATGATGGTTCGTTCTAAATGAATCTATATGTAATTATAAAATTCCAGTGTGATTTTAAGTCCATGTGGAAGAATAAATGGTACAAAAGAGGAGTAATGACATCAGCCTAACCAAACACAAATGTATTTCTTTATTTCTCTATGTTTAGTAAAATATTATGCCATTGTTACAATAGCCCAGAAACATTCTCAATTTTTAAAACCTAATACAAAGTAAAGGAACCATTATAAGTCAGTGATTTTTGAAATGATTGAAATACTCTTTGGGGGTGGATAGGAAAGACAGTTTAGAATTCCATGTCAAATCCTATCAAGATACGGTAATGTCTTAGTCTGCTCAAGCTGCCGTAACAAAGTATCGTAGACTGGATGGCTAAACAACAGAAATTAATTTTCTCACCTTTGTGCTGGCCGATTTGCTTCCTGGTGAGAGTTTCTTTTCCTGGTTTGCAGATGGCCACCTTCTCACTATTCCTCACATGGTGGAGAAGAGAGACAAAAAGATCTCTCTGGTGTCTCTTTTCATAAGGGGCTAATTCTGTTATGAGGGCCCCACCCGAAATATCCCCCAAAGGCCCCATCTTCAAATATCATTACATCAGAGGTTCTAGCTTCAACATAGGAATTTTGTATGGACATAATTCAATCCTTAACAAATAGGAAATAAAATTGAAATACACACAAAAATATAGAAGAATGTAGATTTAAAATACTAAGAGTCCACTATACAAATGGACAAAGCATAATACCAATGACATAGTTAGCATAATTACCAATGACATAACAAAATGACTAAACAAATCAGATAATTTTTGTTGTTTTCTTTTCACTGATTTTTAAGAATGTAAATTGACACAAACTTTTTGGAAATAAAACACTTGTATTTGTGAGTTTTATACATGCATGTGTATGGGAAGCTGTAAGGGCTCATACTGTTCTTGGTTTCTTTGGAGAATTTCCTCAGTCTCCATCTGCCGGTCAGTGCATATATATTCTCTGAATGTAGACTAGGCTTTTATTTTGAATTTGAGTTTCTGATTAACTAATTTAAATCGTTTTTGTTTTTAATTGGTTGTAGCTGGAAAGAGACAGTATCTTTGATTCAGAAGTATTTTCAAAATTTTTAATAAATGAATACGTTTAACTTTTGTGTCTTGCAACCTCCATTTATAAAGGAAAAGTAGCTCTTTTATGGTGTCTAAGCATAATATATAACATAGTTGATATTTTATATCTTATACACTGTGGAATAAAATTAGAATCACTTAATTTGACTATTAAAGCAGATCCATTATACTTTGATATAGTTATCCATTATTCAAGCATGGAGTTTAAATTTTTTTAAATGAAATAACTCATTAAAATTTAAAGTTTAATAAAATACTGATCTTGAAAGGTGTCAATTTGAGACTCTCTAGCTCAAGTAAAAATGAAAATTTACCCTCTTAACTCCAGATAATTTTTTAAGTTAAAAGACAAAGTAGTTATGGTTCTGATATACTTAAAGACTCTATATTTTATTTAGGTACAGTTTTATGACAAAAGTGGATAACATTTTCTTGTTTCATTTTTCAAAATATTCATCCTAACAAATTTATATTTGAAATTGTGATTTTTATTCCTAGTCTGAATTGGACAAGCCTAGAAGCCGGAAAAAAACACCTGTCACGGATTCAGAAGAGAAATTAGGTATGGATGACCTCACTAAGTTGGTACAGGAACAGAAACCTAAAGGCAGTCAGCGTGGACGGAAGAGAGGCCATACGGCTTCAGAATCAGATGAACAGCAGTGGCCTGAGGAAAAGAGGCTCAAAGAAGATATATTGGAAAATGAGGATGAACAGAATAGCCCGCCAAAAAAAGGTAAAAGAGGCCGACCACCTAAACCTCTTGGTGGAGGTACACCAAAAGAAGAACCAACAATGAAAACATCTAAAAAAGGAACCAAAAAAAAGTCTGGACCTTCAGCACCAGAAGAAGAGGAAGAAGAAGAAAGACAAAGTGGAAACACAGAACAGAAATCAAAGAACAAACAGCACCGAACATCAAGGAGAGCACAACAGAGGTAAGTGCATGTAACTCTGAACTGCATGTATTTAGTAACTGTGTTCTAAATCGTAATTTGATGCTATCCACATTTGGGTCTTCCCCAAAGCAGAGCAGAATCTCCTGAAACTAGTGCAGTTGAATCCACACAATCCACACCACAGAAAGGACGAGGAAGACCATCAAAAACGCCATCACCATCACAACCAAAAAAAAATGTGTAAGTTGTAAATAATATTAAATTTCAAACCAGTTTCAAATTATTTTGCGAGAGTTTATCAGTTTTTAAATATACATAGGGCTGTATTTAAAATCCCATATATTTAGTCCCATTATACTAGGTAAGATAAAATTTTTATAAACTTACCTAGGTAATTGATATCCCAGTTAACCCTCTGGTAACCTCTGATTACAGCTTTTAGGCAAATCTCTTTAAATGAACACCAAATAGTTTATTATTTCCAATACAGACTTTATGATACCTAAAGAGATGAGAAAGTATTTTTAAATAATCACATCATACTGACCAAGTTGCTTGTCTTTCCACACTGTAGTTTTTAATATCTCTCCTCAGCAACTTTAAAAAAAATAGTTTTTATATTTTTGCTTTTATTCTTTGAATTGTGTAGGAAAGTCACAGGCATTATTTTTCTTTAAATTATAGCCAAAGAGATTACCACATGTAGATCTGAAGTTTTTGGGGTTTTGGTTTTCTTTCTTTTCTAATCAAATGAACAGATCTGTATCTACATATAAATAGTTGTGGAAGTTCACACAAGCATATGTTCATGAGACGATCACAGTAACAAATCTGTACCTAAAATTGTTAAAGTAGCAGGAGCGTCAGTGCTGTCATTTGTATATTTTGCACTTTTTTCTCAGTTATTTAAGTGGAAGTAGAACAGCATGTCTTCCATTAGTCAGAAATTCTGACTGTAATTCTGAGAGTGACCCCGTTGCACACTTACATCACTGCCTTGGCTTTGCAGAGTTGCCAGCACACCTTGGCCAAATACTTAAGTTATCTTGGAAATTTTTCCTCTTCCTGTGTATTCCCCAGGAAGAGGAAAAGTTGCTTGAGTGTCTAGCTACTTCCTGCCTTTTTCCATGTAATTTTTTCCTCAGGTAAAAAGTAAAGGTAAGTATGTTTTTGTGGCAGCTTTGTAAATGTGTTTGGATTCAATTACGAAAAGTAGCTATTTTTAAAAAACAAATTCTTAAGGAATATTAAATTCCCATGATTAATTTTCTAATGAGGAAATAACAGAAATAGCTTTCAGGCTCATAACTTTAATTAGTTTATATTTGCGCATCAAAAAATTAAGGGCGTAATCATCTAAAATTATACACATCCTCATACAAATGGTCTAAACCAAACAAGTATTTCTTTTAAAAATCAGTGCAGAAAAAGACTCTATATTCCATGTTAACAGCATATCTTCCTTTCATGGGGAATCTATTTTTTTTAAGAACTAGAATAACATACGTTATGATCTGCCTGTTTTTCTTGTTCTGACCTCAGCGGAATTGAGAAAGATTATATTATTTTCCCTGTAATTCTTGTATTTTCTTCCATTAACTCAGAAAAGCCGAACCAAGTAAAAAAAAAAAAAAAAATTACTCGGTTTGAGTGTGTATTAAAGAATACATATCGTGGATTACCCAAGAGAAATGATAAACTATAGTCTTAATTAAAAAAAAAAAGTTAATCAGGGGCACCTAGGTGTCTCGGTCGGTTAAGCATTTGACTCTTGGCTGCGGTTCAGGTCATGATTCACAGTTTGTGGGTTCAAGACCTGCATCAGGCTCCATGCTGACAGTGTGGGGGTCTGCTTGGGATTCTCTCCTTTCTTCTGCCCCTCCCCTGCTTGTGTGCACGCGCTCTCTTTCTTTCTCTCTGTCTCCAAAATTAATTTAAAAAAAGTTATCATACGGAGAATAAACTGATGGTTGTCAGAAGGAAGTGGAGGTGGGAGCATGGGCAAAATGGGTGAAGGGGAGTGGGACATACTGGCTTCCAGTCTGGGAATGAATAAGTCACAGGAATAGAGGGGCATGGCATAGGGAATAAGGTCAGTGGTGTCGTAGCAGCGTTATCTGGTGACAGATGGCAGCTACACTTGTGAGCACAGCATATAATATGTAGAAAAGTTGAACCACAGTGTTGTATACGTGAAACTGATGTAACATTGTATGTCCACTATACTCAAAAAATTTTTTTAATTTAAAGAATATACATGCAAATAAATATCAAAAGGGATACATTTGATTAAATGGTGGTATCTCTTACATATATTTGATTGCCTCCTATGTTTCAGAGAGTACGAGGTGCTAGGGTTTACAGTGGCTTACAGTGGCACAGAATAGACATTATTCTTGTCCTTTTGGGATTAACATCTAAATGGCGTGTAGTCATTACATAATCACACATAAATATGGAATTCTAAATTGTGATCTGTGCCCTGAGGAAAACTTCAGGGTACTATAAGAGAACATAATGGGAGGGCTAGGGAATTGGGGAAGTTTTCTCTTTGGAAAGTGAGAACTGATTTCTTGAGAATAGTAGGAGTTAGGCTGATAGAGAAAAAGGAGAAGAACACAGTTGGAGGGAACATTGTGCTAAAGGTTCCAGAGTAGGAAAAGTCTTGGCCAATTCAGAGAGTTTGAAGGAAGGCAAGAATTTGCTGGATTGTAGTTGTAAGGAATTAGGGAGTGGAAAGAGATGAGAATGGACAGATGGCCAACAACTGTCTGCAAGGCCTTCTATATTATGTTAAGAAGGTTTACAGAATTTCTCGCAGTACAGCAGAGAGCTGTCTAGGGGGAGTGAGTGACATCCGCTGTTTTTACATTTTTGGAGAAGAGGTAAGACGAGAATGGTGTGGAAGTTGTGTGGTAGCAGTAGAGGTGGAGAGAAGTGAATAGATTGGAGATTTCTTTGTAAGAATTATAGGGCCAGATGAAGACTAATAACGCTATTAAGAAGGACTCTAAATTTTCTGTTTTGAGCAGCTTAGTAGATGCAGATTCCTTTTACTGAGTTGGGAAAGATAAAAGGAAGAGCAGACTTTTATAAAACATAAAACTATTATGTTTTATAATCTTTTATTGTCTTGGTTTTTTTATTACTTGGTCAGTGTTTGTGAGATTCTAGGATTAAACACTGGGTTAGGGGTTAGAATAAGAATAACATTTCTTCTTTTGTAAGGTAATGGAGGATAAAAATGGTAATAAATGAGAATTTATGAAATATTTTGAGCATTTCCTCTGAGGTGATCTACTACTTAAAGATCAGAATGTTCATTTTATTTTACCTCTGTTTTACTCTAGCCGTGTAGGACGCTCCAAACAAGCAGCTACTAAAGAAAATGATTCAAGTGAAGAAGTAGATGTGTTTCAGGGTAGCTCTCCTGTCAATGATGATGTTCCACAGGAAGAAACAGAGGAAGAGGAAGTTTCTACAGTAAATGTATGTGTCTATTAAAGTACCATGTGTTAGCATAGAATATAGGAATAGAGTTGGTAAATACTTGGTCAGCTCCATATAGCACTTGCTGTTACTTATAATTCTAAGTATTTATTTACTTTTCTTGAGCAGTTTGTAACGTTGGTTCACCTACCAGCTTGGGTAATGAGAGAACTTCCTTTATGGAATCCTGAAACTAAGTGAGAATGACAGATGTAGCCTAGTGAAAATGTAAATGTCAAGTTTATAACAATGTGGAGAAGAACAAGTAGCATTCTGATAAATTGACCCTTGAAGCATTTAAGCTGTACCTTGATTTTAGACCACTGTTATATGTTAAATAGACTATGGCTAATGTTTCATAACTTTTTCTTTGAGTTTCATAGTAGTTTTACAAGTTAGTCATCTAGAATAAAATCATGTCTTTGAAATTTACGAAATTGGTAACCTAGATTTCTTTTACAAAGGTCAGAATGTGATTCTTCCTGAGATAATTTTTTCTTAAGAATGGCTTTGTCGGTTAACACATCTTCAGTGTTTCTTTTTGGAAGAAATACAGTTAACACATTGAAGTAAACTGTTCTCCTAATGATAACACCAGTGCTGAATCTTTGGATCAGCACAGTTAGCCATCTTTGAGAAACCTGTGTTGTGAGATCAAGTCCCAGAGTTGACCCCCGCCCCTCTGTCCTTTTTAACATAATCAGCACTTGTGTCTGTGCCAGGGTTCATTTATGTACCAGATATTCACAGAAAAATATCTGAACTGTGGTCTCAAACTTGTTGGGCTTGTTTCTTACAGCTTTGTTTGTTTGTTTGTTTGTTTTGGATGTAAAAATAAGACAAGAGTCCATAGTGATTAATGTCTTCATCAAAAAAACCCAAAAAAACCATAAATTAATTGAATTACAATCCTGTTCTGTTTATATTCATCTTAATACTGATATTTTTAGAACTGAAGTTTTACACTTTCATTAGTACTTGCCAGTAAATGGTAATATGTCTGAATTCCATATATTCCTATGTATTTGATAATTGTTAGGCTCTACATTCAGTAACTGTTTTCCCAGAAAGACAACTGTAAGCCTAAGTTTAAAATGTTTTCTTTTACCACGGAAATGTAAGTGAAAAGATAGTTGCAATTGTTTTTCTTGCTGTCGACATTGCTTTCTGTTCATTTCTCTTTAAAATTATTAAATAGTAAAGTAAAATAGTTTTTTCTCTTGCTATTATGGGAAAGGCTATTTATGGGCATTCAAATATTACATAAGGTCTAAATATGTGATGCTGAGGCAGAAAGTTTTAAAATAGGAGAAAGGTTTGAAGTGAAGAAAAGCAAAGAAAATCAGGAACAACTAAGAATAGTGATTTGTTAAAAAAATAATATTAATTACTGCCAAGTCTGGTATCTTAATTAAGCATCTGGTAATTTTTCTTTTAAGGTACGGCGGCGAAGTTCTAAAAGAGAAAGGCGATGAACAAATGTAATTAGTAACTTTCTGTGTGAAAGCTTTGAAAAGAAGCATTTTTTTTTGGTCAAGCTTGAGGCTAAGTAAAGCCTTTGATGCGCAAAGCGGGACTGCTGGAGAGTGGACAGTTGGACCTTACTTTGATGACCTCATGTATTTGTGGTCACAGCGCTTTAGCCATACGCGTGGTGATAACATTGACTCTGGAGTCCTGTGAAAGTGTGATGTGCGATGGCTATGTAGACATAAACTAAAGAAGAAACTTGTAAATATGTTTTTTTCTTTTACTTTTTTCTTTTCTTTTTCTTTTTCTTTTTTTGTTTTTTGTTTTTTTAATGTTTCTGACTTCTAAAGTGCTTGTATAGCTTTTATCTGCGGCTTTAAACTGACAGTCCCAACTGTTTATTGGATCTATTGATTTGGAAAGAGTTTGTTAGGATAGATCTTAAGCAGTGATCTGTCAGTGTTTGTATTTGTATTCTCTGCAATTTTACTGTGAAAAAAATTTTTTCAACAAATGGTGTCATTTTCTTGATGTCATTGTTTGTTGGAGAGGTAAATGGTCTCTTTCCCTTGTGTATCTTACCTAGTGTTTACTCCTAGGCACCCTTAATCTTCAGAGGTGCTAAATGGTCTGCCATTACACCTGCATGATGCCTCCAGCGGGAGGACACCACGCAGATTGTGAAATAGTCCCGAAGTTTGATTATTTTACACCTCAGTATTGGTCTCAGAATTTTCTGGCCTTTCATGGCAATGAAAATTTTAAGAAAAGAGAGATTTAAAATATTTTAATTTTAAAGAGTGTGTTATAAAATAATGTACTGAATTCTTTATCCCATTTTATCATCATCCCTTTTCAGTTTTTATTAATCTACTGTATCAATAAAATTCTGTAATTTGAATTAGTTTTTAATAGTCTAGAATGTTATTGTGTATAGATATTTCCTCTTGAACATTATGTTCAGAAATACAGATTATTACACTATAATATTAAATCCGATATATACACATAGAAAGTTCCAGTTCTCCATAACAGTGTAAAGTTAATCAGAAAGAAAAAAATTTTATTGATGCAGTGTGTCTTTATAAAGCTGTTCTTGAAAGCAAGTGTTTTGTATTTTATAGTGAGTTGCATGTTTATGAAAAAAGTGCTGAAAATGGGATGTGCTCTTTTCTGTAAAATCATATTTAGCCATAGTATATGATAGATTGCCCCATAACATAGTTTTTCATCAAGAGTTTATTATTGTACTTTATTTTGGAGCCAAAAAAGTTGTTTTGGGGGGGGGGCAGGGTGGGAATGGTATATCCAACTATATGACCTACTGTAGGTATCACAATCTTAAAAATTTTGAATGAAATTCCACTTTGTCTAGATTGGGAGAAGTGGAAATTTATTTGGTTTTAGAGCAGATCTTTTCTTCATTGTAATCTGCAAAATATAGAAACAAATTACTTAAATCAGTATCCTTTATACAGTTTTATAAACTGTATTGTGAACCAAAACATAAAAGTTACTACTTAATGCTTGCCTAAATTCATTTAGTATTTCAGGTGCTGTTCTTTTGTTTTTTTCACAGTTAACATCAGAAAAAAAAATCATATCCTAACTTATTAAATGTATCACATTGAATAATGGAACATTTTCATATAATACACCATTATGTTGAAGGTATATTTCCAAGATTGGTTATAATAGAGGGGGGATATAATAAAGAAACTACTATTTTGGAAAATGACATTTTACTATTTTCCAGTGTATATCACAATTGATGTGATTATTTTTCTTTTAAAGATTTCTTCATGTTTATGAAACGGCCTTTTATTTTTTAAAAAATGTTTTGAATTGTGTCTTAATCTCTCAATATTTAACTATTCTTCATTTCCAACAGTACTGACACCAGTGATTACGGGAGGCTGCTGTATACAAGGCAGCTAATGTCGGACCAAGATACATTGGTTTTTAACCGTTTCATGAACTCAGTTCTCCCAAACACGCTATTTGTATCTCAGCAGTACAAAGGCATGTTTTTAAATCTATAAAATAAAGAATAAGGGATAGCTTTGTATTTTTGTCGTTGACTAAATTGCACCGGAAATGTTTATGGAAGTATATCTTTAAGACCATTTTATAAAACATAATGAAAAAATGATTGTGGAAGATTTTTATTTGCATGATCATAGTTAACCAAATTTCATTGCACAACTAATTCTGTACATCAGTTCACAAAAAATGTTCATTGTAGATTTTGTTTAATGCCAATAAGTCTGTGATTTTACAACTTGTCTGTTCACTTTTTGGGAAGATTATGATGTAAATTTTCCATTTTTCTGTAGAAAAATAGGTGCAATAACGATCAAAGTTTTGATGTCCTGAGTCTTCATCTTAGGGGATTATCTTATTATGTTTGAACTTAACATTTCACGTACTGACATTTGGAGAGCCACATACTATAACTAAAGTAAAATTACGTATGTATACAACATTAATTGCTAACGATAGTTAGCAAACTCTTCAGTCATAATGTTCATTTTGAAAATATGTACTGTATAAAATTGAGAAAATATTTAACTCACTGTAACAACTTCCATTATGAAAATCTTACGATTTTTCGGTGAGGTTATCTTGCTGCACTCTGTAGCAAGTTCATTTAATCTACATTATAATATGATTTCTTGCTGCAGTGCAACAGGAAGCTTTTGTTTTCAGTGATCTCCACTGTATATGTAAATTACAAATGTGGCTGTAAAACTTGTTCCAGGTATTAAAGGTTAAATTACTTTCTGTATCTTCTTACAGCTTGTAAGTTTGATTTTTAAGATCTCCTTTTGCCCATGTGAAGAATGTCAGGAATTTAAGAATTTGTTTAACCTGGGCATATCTCCCCTACCACATAGTATTACGTCACCGTCACGAACAATTGGTATTTAGATAGATAACCAATATCAGACACATTTTTTGGATTTTCTGTGAAGTTGAATAAACATGAAAGTTAATATGTAATTGTATTATTTTATTTATGTTAATCGGTATATATACTTACATGTGTTTACTAAATGAAGAAAGGCACATTTTGATGATTTTTTATTTTGGAGACTTTTGTTGCATGGAAAGGAAATCTGTTTCCCAGTAACATTTTTTCAAGCTTTTTGTTTAAACTTCTCATTTAAAATTTTGGCTAACAGAGATTACTAAGTACTATTTAAGTTAAAGGATTGCATAACTGAAGAAAATAAATGTATCATATAAACTTTAAAAGTAAGCACTGAGAATGTGAGTTGCTAGTGGCAGTTTTATGCATTTGTTCAGCAAATACTTATTGAATGCTTACTATGTGTTAGGTTAGTGTGATTCTCCCCAGCCGGGGGAAGGGAAGGGAGATAAGGAAACAATACTTAAATATATACTGTCAGATTATGAAAAGTGTGGTGAATAGAAAAGGAAAAACCAGATGGACAATAGAAATGATTGGAGGTGAAGCTATTTTATATTTGGAGCTATGTTATTCAGTACATAAAATGTAGGTTTATTATGCCTTTATGATGAAGTTATACTTTTAGAATTGTCAAATGTCACTCGATATGTGTACAAATACTCCATGCCTACTTTGTCTCGTATGAGTATAGCCATTCCAGTTTTGTTTGCGTGACAAAGCTTTTTCTGTCCTTTTATTTTCACCCTATTTATATATATCTTTAAGTTTAAAGTGTGTGTTGTGTAAACATTTTAATTCTTTGGCCTTGTTCTTTTATTCAGTTATAGGATCTTTGTCCTTTAGAGTGTTTAGACTATTTACTTTTGGTATAACTACCGATGCATAGTAGGCTTTAAGTTTATCAGCTTACTGTCTTTTTTGCCAATCTTTTCCTTATTTATTTCCTCCTTTTCCTACCTTCTTTTGGCTCAGTAAAGTACTGTTGACCTTTGAACAAGTGGGGATTAGGAATGCCAATCCCCCCATGGTTGAACATCCACATAAAACTTTTGAGTCCCCCAAAACTTAACTACTGATAGCCTAATGCTGATCAAAAAGCCTTACCAGTAACACAGTTGATTAACACATATTTTGTATGTTGTATGTATTATATACTGTATTCTTACAATAAAGTAAGCTAGAGAAAGGAAATTATTATTAAAATCATAAGGAAGAGAAAACACTTGCACAGTATTGTAATGTATCAAAAAACAATCCAGTTCACACTCATGTTGTTCAAAGGTCAACCATACTTAATGCGCTTCCGTGCCTTCCTTTGGCTTTTTCGTTATACCTGATTATATTATTCTTCTGTGGTTACCCTACAGATTACATTATCTATGTTTGGCTTATTATAGTCTGTGTTTTATTAATGCTTTTACTACCTTCTGGACAGTTAAAGAACTTTAAAATGGTTCAACTCCATTTGCTGCTTTCCTCCCCTTTGTGGTATGGTTTTTATGTTTTGTAGTTATAAATGCCAACGTATCATTACTTTAGGTAGTCGGTGTTCTTGTTTACGTATACATTTTCTCCCCTCTTTGCTACCTTTTTTTTTTTTTAATCTAGTTTTGTGCTTT